AAATTTTCAAAGATTGTAAAATATTCCAAGAGATTTCCAAAGATTTCAAGAGATCTCAAGCGATTGCAACAGATTTTAAAAGATTTTAAAAGATTTCAAGATATTTCAAGCGATTTCCAAAGATTTCAAGAGATTTCAAGTTCAAGAGATTTCAAGAAATTTCAAGAGATTTCAAGAAATTTCAAGAGATTTCAAGAGGGTTCAAGAAGTTCAAAAGCTTTCAAAAGAATTCAAGAGATTTCAAGAAGTTCAAGAGCTTTCAAGACAATTCAAGGGATTTCAAGAGGTTCAAGAGCTTTGAAGAGATTTCAACGAGATTTAAAGTTTTCAAGAGATTTGAAGACATTTCAAGCGAACAATCAAGAGATTTTATGGGAGTTTACGAGATTTCAAGCGAGTTCAAGAGATTTCAGGAGGTTTCAAGCGAGCAATCAAGATATTTCATGAGACTTCACGAGATATCAGAAGATTTTGAAAGATTTTAAGCGATTTCAAGAGAGTTCAAGAAATTTCAAGAAACTTTAACAGATTTCAAAAGATTTCAGGCGAGCAATCAAGAGATTTCAAAACCAAAGATTTTTCTAGAGATTTCCAGAGATTTCAAGATTTTTCAAAAGATTTCAAGAGATATCAAGAGATTTCAACAAATTGCAAAAGATTTCCAGAGATTTCAAAAGATTTCTAGAGATTTGAGATTTCAAGGGATTTTGAGCGATTTCCAAAGATTTCAAGGGATTTCCAAAGATTTCAAGATTTTTCAAAAGATTTCAAGAGATATCAAGAGATTTCAACAAATTGCAAAAGATTTCCAGAGATTTCAAAAGATTTCTAGAGATTTGAGATTTCAAGGGATTTTGAGCGATTTCCAAAGATTTCAAGGGATTTCCAAAGATTTCAAGATTTTTCAAAAGATTTCAAGAGATATCAAGAGATTTCAACAAATTGCAAAAGATTTCCAGAGATTTCAAAAGATTTCTAGAGATTTGAGATTTCAAGGGATTTTGAGCGATTTCCAAAGATTTCAAGGGATTTCCAAAGATTTCAAGATTTTTCAAAAGATTTCAAGAGATATCAAGAGATTTCAACAAATTGCAAAAGATTTCCAGAGATTTCAAAAGATTTCTAGAGATTTGAGATTTCAAGGGATTTTGAGCGATTTCCAAAGATTTCAAGGGATTTCCAAAGATTTCAATATTTTTCTAGAGATTTGAGATTTCAAGCGATTTCCACAGATTTCAAGAGATTTCGAGATTTTTCAAGAGATTTCCAAAGATTTCAAGAGATTTCCAAAGATTTCAAGATATTTCAAGCGATTTCAACAAATTTTAAGAGATTTCAAGATCAAGAGATTTCCAGACCTTTCCAGAGATTTCTAGATTTCTAGAGATTTCAGATTTCAAAGGATTTCAAGAGATTTCCTTCTGCTCCTCTTGCGCTTCTTGATCTTCTCGCTCTTCTCGCTTTTCCCTTTCCCTTTCTCTTTCCCTTTCCCTTTCCCTTTCCCTTTCCCTTTCCCTTTCCCTTTCCCTTTCCCTTTCCCTTTCCCTTTCTCTTTCTGTTTCTCTTTCTCGTTCTTCCCGTTCTTGTTTTGCCTGTTATTCCTGTTCCTTCTGCTCCTCCTGCTCCTCTTGCTACTCCTACTCGTCCCTGCTCTTCTTGCGCTTCTTGCTCTTGGCCCTCTTGCTCTTCTCGTTCTCGTCCCTGTTTTTCCTGTTCGTCCTGCTCCTCCTGCTCTTCCTTACTCTTCTTGCGCTTCTTGATCTTCTCGCTCTTCTCGTTCTATTTCTCGTTCTCGTTCTTCCTGTTATTTATGTTTTTCT